CCCCCCCCCCCCCCCGACACACACACCTAGAATATCTTCTCCCCACCCTGGACCTCAGCAGCGGTTGGGTCCCGGGAGGGATTACATCTGTCCCCAAACTTTGGTTGAAAGAAGAGTCCGGGGGAGGGCCCCGGTGAGGAAGAGGAGAGAAAGCCGGGGTCACCGGGGCGGCCAGGGCTTTACTGCAGCTCAGAGCTGAGCCCGCTCCGCTTCTACCGACAGACACCCCCTCCCTGTTATCTTCGCTCCAAGCGTTAGCAAACCTCAGCAGGCCCATTGTCTACTTCTTGGCTTTAGGAAGATACCACGTGCTCTGTTAACAAATAGCTATAAGAAGTATTATCATTAACGGGAACCATTTAGACATTTCCTTTACTGCTGAGACTAAACCAGGGATGCCCACTACCACTGTTACCGTTTAACACAGTATTAGAGATCCTGCCCAATGCTGTGAGACACAGAAGACAGTCCAGCCAGTGTGGCTCAGTTGGTTGAGCATCATCCTGGGCATCAAAAGGTTGTCAGTTTGCCTAACCGTGTGGCTCAGTGGTTGAGCGTTACTCTATGAACCAGAAGGTCATGATTCGATTCCCGGTCAAGGCACATGCCCAGGTTGCAGGCTTGATCCCCAGTGTGGGGCGTGCAGGAGGCAGCCGATCAATGATTTTCTCTTATCTTTGATGTTTCTATCTCTCTCTCCCTCTCCCTTCCTCTCTGAAATCAACATATGTGTGTGTGTGTGTGTATGTGTATATATCATTCTTATATAATAAAAGCCTAATATGCTAAGTGTCTGACTGTTTGTTCAACTGTTCGACCAGTTGCTATGATGTGCACTGACCACCAGGGCAGACGCTCCCACCGGTAGGTTAGCTTGCTGCTGGGGTCCAGCTGATTGGGACTGGGAGAGTCAGGCTGGACACACCCTGGAGCCCTCCCTCAGCCTGGCCTGTGGGGATTGGTTGCCAGTTTGGTTCTTGGTCAGGGCACATGCCCAGGTTGCTGGCTCGATCCCCGGGGAGGGGCGTGCAGGAGGCAGCCAATCAATGATTCTCTCTCATCATGGATGTTTCTCTCTCTCTCTCCCTTCCTCTCTCTCTAAACATCAATTTTAAAATCTTTAAAAAAGAAAAGAATAGGAAGGGGAAAATAAAAACCATAATTTACAGATGACATGCTCATCTACCCAGAAAAGCCAACCAACAGAATCAAAGATTAGAACAAATAGAATTCAGCAAGGATGTCACATGCAAGATAAACATTAATAGCATATCTCTAGCCCTGGCGAGGTAGTTCAATTGGTTAGACTTCAGTGGTTGGCAAACTCATTAGTCAACAGAGCCAAATAGCAACAGTACAACGATTGAAATTTCTTTTGAGAGCCAAATTTTTTAAACTTAAACTATATAGGTAGGTACATTGTTATTAACTTCATTAGGGTCCACACTCAAGGGGCCAAAGAGCCGCATGTGGCTCGGGAGCCGCAGTTTACCGACCACGGGGTTAGAGCATCATGCCAAGGTTGGGGGCTTGATCTACAGTCAGGACACATACAAGAATCAACCAATGAATGGAATGAATGAGTGGAACAACAAATTGATCTCTCTCTCTCAAAAAAAAATCAATCAAAAATGTTTTAAATAGCATATCTCTACACCATCAATAACTAGAAAACATAATTGAAAAGATGATGTCATTCAAATAGTATAAAAACTGTCAGGTAGCCCTGGCTGGCTTGGCTCAGTGGATAGAGCATCAGCCTGTGGACTGAAGGGTCCCAGGTTCGATTCCGGCCAAGGGCGCATGCCTGGGTTGCAGGCTCGATCCCCAGTTGGGGGCGTGCAGGAGGCAGCCGATCAATGATTCTCTCTCATTGACATTTCTCTCTCTCTTCTTCTCCCTTCCTCTCTAAAATCAATAAAGAAATATATTTTAAAAAAATCTGTCAGGTATTTGAGCGTTATCTTAACTAAGAACACATAAGATCTCTATGGAAAAACTTTAAGACTCAAGTAAAAGATCTAGAAGATGCTATGACTGAATGGAGAGATAGTCTGTATGTATGCCACCTGGTTTGCGGCAGCCTGAGGAAACTAACGGAAGCCCCTGCCCAAGGCCCTTGAAACACCCGCCCCAGTCTAGGCTCACTAGTCCACATGAGGTTCAGCTTAGCCAGGAAAGCAAGGGAGGGGGCTCTGGCGGTTTCGAGGTGCCCCAGGATATTTACCAATAAAACCATGGAAGCCCGAGTCCCAGGAGATCTTGGGGGCAGCTGGATATAAGTGGAGGAGCCAGAGGGGACCTGGGAGGAATATTGAAAAAGAGATATTCAGAAATTGGCATGTCTTAGCAACACATATGAAAGTGGGGGTGCCCAGCCCTAGCTGGTTTGGCTCAGTGGATAGAGCATCACCGGCCTGCAGGCTGAAAGGTCCCAGGTTCGATTCCGGTCAAGGGCACATGCCCATGTTGCGGGCTCGATCCCCAGTAGGGAGGTGTGCAGGAGGCAGCCGATCAATGATTCCCTCTCATCACTGATGTTTCTATCTCTTTCTCCCTCTCCCTTCCTCTCTGAAATCAATAAAAATATATTTAAAAAAATAAAGTGGGTGTGCCCAGAACTGAAGTGCCCTGGGAGGCCCTTTGAGGTTCAAAACTGGGCCGCCTAACTTCCTCCACTACCTGCTCTCCGGCCCAGTGTCACTGTAGGGACACGCAGGATGCTAATAAAGAGACAAGCCTGGCCCTGACCCGTTTGGCTCAGTGGATGGAGCCTCGGCCTGCGGACTGAAGGGTCCCAGGTTGGATTCCGGCCAAGGGTATGTACCTTGGTTGCGGGCACATCCCCAGTAGGGAGTGTGCAGGAGGCAGCTGATCGATGTTTCTCTCTATCCCTCTCCCTTCCTCTCTGTAAAAAATCAATAAAATATATTTTTTAAAAAGAGAGAGAGAGAGAGACAAGTCTGGCCAACCAGCCCCAGGGCGGATGGGAGCTGCCCTCTGCCCTCCCTCTCACTCTTGTGGTTAGCTGTGGATAATTCTGGGCTCCAATCCCGTGATGCCCAGAGAAAATAGCAGGCGGCCAACTTGGAAAGACAAACTGGAGACAGGAGGCAGTTGCAACCCACCCCACTTCTGTGCAACCCACACCTCTTCTCACGCCCTTGTCCAGGCGGAGGGTCCTCCGGACTACAATCCCCCAAATGCTGAAGGTGTAATGGCCCCGAGGCCAGCCTGGAGCTACAGCCCCATCTCCTCCCTACTCACCTGCGTCCTGGCCTCCTGATGCCACGGCTGGGGGCTCCGGGGGGGCCTTCCTCCCCCAGCCTCGGAAGCGGGTCCTCGGCGAGGAGTGGGAGGCCGGGAAAGGGCCTGGCGCTGGGGGCCCCATTCCGAGGGAGGGCGCACGTCGATGCGACTCAGTGGGGTATGGGGTCTGGCCGGGAGTGGGGTGTCACCCGAGGAGGAGGGAGGGGGCCTGCGGGCAGGGGCCGACCGGGGCCGGGGGAGACTCAGAGGGGAGGGCGGGCGAGAGAGGGGTGTGAACAGGCTGCGGGGAGGAGAGAATGGGGGGGGGGGACTGAGAATGGGGGGGAACTGGCTCAACTCGAGTCTCTCGCCAACAACAACAAGTCAGCCTCAAAGACGTGTCTCCCTTTGTGGTGTCTTCCTTGTCCTTCTAAGAAAAGTGGTTCTCAACCTTCTGGCCTTTCAATAAAGTTCCCTTTCAATATGTTGTGACCCAACCATATATAAAAATCAATTTCCGTGGCTACTTCATCACTA